ACGGTGGCATTAAGTACATTTACCCTGTTGTGCAACCAGCACCACCATCCATCTCTAGAACTTTTCGTGTCCCTGTATTGAAATTCTATCCATTCGACAGTAACTCCGCATTCCTCCCTCCCCCCAGCACCTGGTAACTACTTTTCTGTTTTATATTATGAATTTGACTATTCTAGGTACCTCACCTAAGTGGCATCTTACAGTATGTCTTTTTTTTTGGTCCGCCTTATTACATTAGCATAACGTCTTCAAGGTTCATCCATGTTGTGGCATGTGTCAGAATTCATTCCTTTTTAAGGCTAAATAATATTTCATTATATGTAGATGCTACACTTTGTTTATCTATGAATCCACTGATGGACACTTGGTTTGCTCTCACCTTTTGGCTGTTGTGAATAGTGCTGCTGTGGTCACTGGCGTACGGATACCTGTTTGTGTCGCTGCTTTCAGTCTTTCGGGTGTCTGCCAGAGTGGGATTCCTGGGTCATATGATAATTCTGTGTTTGACTTTTTGAGAAACTACTATATAGTTTTCCACAGTGGCCTCACCGTTTGACTTTCCCAAGCCCCTGCATTCTTAGGATTTTCCCGTTTTCTCCATTTCTTCATCCCCAATGATGATGTTCTCCTGAACTTGCTGACAGCTCTCAAAGAGAGGATGTTCTGTCCTTTTCCTCTTCCAGAATTCTCAGAAAGTCTTTAAAGCTGGGATGGTCCTTAGAGCTCATCTAGTCCATCTTTACCCATTTTTCAAATGAGGAAACTGACGCCCAGAGATGGGAGATGGCTTGCCCGTGGCCACACAGCAGAAGCAGGAGCGGGCTTCTCTGCCTCCTTTTGCAATTCCACCCTTCTGCTAATCCGTGACGCAGGTGCCAGGAGTATCCCTGCTCCTGATTCTTCCTGACAGTGGACCAGAGGGTGCCTGGGACCCTGGGATGGGGGCACGGGGAGGAAAAGCAGATGAGAGCTTGACCCTTCTCTCCGCGCAGGACCAACCTCCCTACCACCTTAAGGCCTTCAACCTGCGCATCAGCTTCCCTGAGGAGTATCCGTTCAAGCCCCCCAAGATAAATTTCACAACCAAGATCTACCACCCCAATGTGGACGAGAACGGCCAGGTTTGCCTGCCCATCATCAGCAACGAGAACTGGAAGCCTTGCACCAAGACCAGCCAAGGTGCGGCTGGGCCTTGCCTGGGGGCAGGGACTCATCCTGGGTGGGGGTTACTGGATGGAGGTTATGGGGCTTATTTTGAGTTAGGAAAGCCTAAAAGAGAGGAGATAAAGATGGCAAGTCTCAGCTGAACTTACCATCAGATAGAAGGATGCTTCCTGTGATCCTGTGATAGACAGGCCGACTTGCTTCTGCCTCTGCTCCTACACCTGGGCAGGTGTGACAGGGGAACTTTGCCATGGTTCATGGGAAACAGAGGCAGTTTGGCTGTAGAGGGAAGGGCTTGGGATAAGAAGGCTTGCTGCAGGCCG